TTCGTCAAAACGATCACCTTTTGATCCCCGGGACTATAAAATAATCCACCTTTCGTTTCCTTGGGATAGCCTACGAAAACTCGTGCTTCCGAACGTTTTTTCAATTTGCCAGGTTCCTGCACTAAAACGTGTGCAGGACTACCCCATACCCAAATATGTGAAAAGCCTGGCCTGCGCCCTTTCCACAATTCGTAAGGAGTAGTATCAACTGACTTCGATGGAACCAAGTTTAGAATGTACGATGCTATTTCCAGCGCCATTCCCCAAAACGATTCTGGTAACCTCGAATAACTCATCATAGATCTAACCATCTCCATAAGAGTCCTATTTCTTCGCTCTGCAACCCCGTTCTGCTGGGGCGTGCCGGGTGCAGTCAGTTGAGATTCAATCCCAGCTTCCGATAAGTATGTCCTGAACTCTCCAAAGAGGTATTCGCCACCTCGATCAGAACGAAGTGACTTGATACATTTACCATGAAGCTTCTCCACAACTGCCCGATACTCCTTGAATTTCTCAAAGCATTCGGACTTGCGGTGCAACAGATAAACGTACCCAAATCTCGAGTAATCATCTATGAAAGATACATAGTACTCGAAACCTCCTCTAGCCTGAATCGACATAGGACCACACAAATCAGAATGAATCAATCTAGCACTTCTTGGCTCCTATACCCCTTTGCCGTAAACGGCTTCTTGGCCATCTTACCTTCCAGACAAGATTCGCAAGTTGGATAGTGCTCTTCCAATGGACCGAGATGTCCACTGGCCACTAACTTTTTAATCCTCCTAAGGTTGATGTGCCCAAGTCTAAGGTGCCACAGATATGCTTGATTCATCTGCGAATACTCCTTCCTCTTATTAGATGTAGTTATGACATTATTCAATTCATTATGTTGCACTGTGGGAGAGTTCGGTTTGAGAACATATAAATTGCCAACTAATGAACCACAACATATGAAACAATTTTCAAAACGAATAATAACCATGTCATCAAACGAAACTGAAAAACCATCCATAACGAGTTTAGAAACTGAAACAAGGTTCTTTCTAAAGCTAGGAACATAAAGGCAATTTCTCAAACCAAACTACTACTATCAAACGATAAAGTAATGTCTCCCACTGCAACAGCCGCCACTTTCGTAGTATTGACCATGTAGACGGTGATCTCTCCCTCCCTAAGTCGCTTGGTTTTCTGGAACCCCTGCAAAGAATTGCAGACATGATCAGTGGCTCCAGTATCCACACACCAGGTTCTGGTAGATACAACCGCTAAACATGTTTCTACGACATTAACGAGAGAGTTATCTTTCTTAAGGAGAGGGCAGTCGACCTTCCAGTGTCCTGACTTATTGCACTTGTGGCATCTTCCTTTCGGTTTCTTTGCCACAGGCTGAGGGGCCGGTCGTGGGTACACCGGAGCATCCTGTGCCTTCGCCTTTTCTGCAGACTTCTTTCTGTTCCTGCCCTTGTGAGGCCTGGAAGGTCCAGCCTGCTCGGCGACTAGCACCTGAGGTGCCTGAGTGAATAAGGCCTCCGCCGACTGTAGCTCTGCAAGCAGTTCTGGAAGAGCCATATGCATCTTGTGCATGTTGTAGTTCAACCGGAACTGATCAAAACTCTTCGGCAGAGATTGGAGCATAATATCAACCTGGGTTTCTCCGTCAATATAACCTCCCATAACCTCAAGCTCATTAAGCTGCGCCATAACCCTGAGGGCGTGCTCCCTTACGGGTGTGCCCTCGGCCATGCGCGTACTCGTCAGAGCACTCAAAGCCTCTAGCCTAGCAGCCCTAGACTGATGTCCGAACAGATCCCTGAGATTGAGAAGTATATCTGTTGCAGTGTCCTTAGACTGATGCTGATGTTGAAGAACATTCGACATAGAAGCCAGAATGTAACACTTCGCCATCTCATCAGCCTTCTTCCACGGAGCATACTCCTCTTTCTCCTGCTCAGGAGCATCAGCCGCCGGCACCGCCAGGCAAGCATCAGTGATAGCAAACTTATAACCATCAGCAGTCAACACTATGTCTAAGTTCCTCTTCTAATCAATGTAATTAGGACCAGTAAGCTGATTTTCTTTTAGAATGACAGACAACGGATTGAACGACATGATGAATATCCTGAGAATCATGCAAATAAATTTTACAGATTAAACACTTTTGAATTTAACTGTCAATATTGATATCTTCAAAACAATATTAACTTAAATTCACCGACATCTATTACACCTCGTGAGAATGCATGCTACGTGGGTCGCCCTACAAACTCGCATTTTGTAAGAGAAGGACTTTTCAAGGGCCCATTAATTTCATAAGTCAAAACCAAATTCATGACAAACAAAATTAATAGTCGGTCTCCATTTGGCCATGCAATAAATCCAAGGACCCCGTGGGGAGTTTATAAATAAATCGCATTCTAAGTAATTCCCATTTCTCGATTCTGAGGTTGTCAAAATTGATTACACGTCCCCCGTGGGGAGGCCCATGCGCTCTCTTAAGATTCCCTCTAATCGTCTACATTTAGAAATTTGTCCTGGTAATTTCCTACAACCAATTTTAGCAATGTCACCCATGGGGAAGCCCATTACTGCAATTAATTGATTTACCGACAAATTAGAAATGGAGGCCTTAGGAATTTTACAATTAACTTTAATTTAAAATCCCTTCTCAAACTTAGTATAATTTAATAAGGATTTTCAACTATTTATGCAATTTCAAATTAATCTATGTTAATGCAATAATTAATTAACATGCAATTCTAAATTAATATATGTCAATGCAATAATTAATTAACATGTACAATAATTTATGCAATCCTAAATTAATCCATGCCAGAACATAATTAATTACATGCATAATTTATTGACACAATTCTAAATTAATCCTATGCATTACATAATTAATTAACATGCATAATTAATCTTGCAATACTAAATTAATCCCATGCAAAAACATAATTAATTAACATGCATAAATAATAATTTAATGGCATAATAAATTTAAATAAATAAATAAATAAACCACCATTATGGCCATTAAATATTGAGTCTCCTTAAACAAGGAAACTGTGACAGTTCTTTCCCTGTTCAATTGGAACTCCTTTAAGCAGTAGAATCCTGGTTGATCTTGTACTGCTTGGACATCAAGGCAAAAACACCAGCCACCAGCCGCCACCTGCCGCCGCCGCCACCGGTTCGTCGGAAAAAACGTTGTTTTTTTTTTTTTAATTCTTCGAGGCTCGTTGATCTCTTGTGATCTCCCGGTCATCAGCACACGATCACAACACGAAAAATATAATTTACAAAATTACATAATTCGATCCTAGATCCAACGAATGGATGTACATGTTTTCTAAACACCCCTAAACACTCCTTCATCCTATGGCTGGGGGTGCTAAACCGGCTCCGGACAAAAGATCGTCTTGAGTTCCTTGAGGAAGATCCTATATGCACTCTTTGTGGAGAGGCGAATGAATCTTCGAGCCACCTATTCTTCAAGTGTACCTTAGCTTGGAGATTTGGGTGGAGATTCGTACTTGGATTAGTCTACGACATAGACCGTCCACACTAAAATGAACCCTCAAATGGATCAAAAAGGAGGCGAGAGGAAGTGGATGGCAAACCAAATTGAAGAAAGCGGCACTTGCGGCTACCGTATACTTCATTTCAAATGCTAGGAATCGATTGGTGTTTGAGAATGAATACCAAGGCCCGAGTCTTGTAATTCGCAAGGTAAAAACACATGTTTATCGAACTATATTTGCTGCCTACCTGAATGTGCTTGTTGAATTTGAGAGGAGGTGTCTTGGGTATTAAGAGGCATCTTGGGTACTTGATGGTTGAGGCTGGGTGGTGGTCAGAAGACCTAGGAGATTGGTTGGTTGGAAAGGGAACGCACGGTTCATGCACTTGCGGCGCCCAGTTTTTCGCGACTCGCGACTATGACTCGCGACTCGCGACTTATTTCGCGAGTCGCGACTTCTCACCTGAAGATTGACATTCGGCTTTGTTTTTTCCGCGAGTCGCGACAAATTTTCGCGAATCGGCCCAGATTCTCGCGGTTCAAATTCGCGAGAGCGACTTCTCACATGAAGATGGCTGTTCGACTCTGTTTTTTCCGCGAGTCGCGAGTCGCGACAAATTTCGCTATTCGGCCCAGATTCTCGCGGTACAATTCGCGATCCGCGACCTTAGTCGCGAGTCGAGTCGCAACTTTATACCGGTTGCTGTGTCTCTCTCTGTTTTCGTCGCGAGTCGCGACAAAATCTCGCGAGATGCGACTTGTTGTGCCGTTTCGCCACTGTTTTTGGCTCATTGTACCAATAAAATTTTTGAACATTGTCTCTTGTAACTTTAGAGAGACCAACTGACTTGTGGTTGGTTTTTTCTTGTGAATAAGGAACCGACATGTGGTTGCTCATTACGTCTTTGTAAGCCGTAGACCGGTAGACCAAACCATTTTTGATATATATAATTACATTTAACGATAAAAAAAAAAAAAANCAAATGGGTAGACATGGGATGATATTGCGTAGAAAACAAGCGTACTTTTAATAGTTATTTTTATTATGTAAAATTGAATAATGTTAAATACAAATTCCAAAAAGCGCGTAAGGAGACTCAAACTCTAAACGTAAATGGGAATAAATAGGCAAATGATCACGTACTTCATGAGTTCAATTCGAATTATTGTTATATAATATGTTTAGATAACACTGATTCCGATAACGCTTAAAAGCATTATATGTAACCAAAAAAAAATGCTATCTGAAGCTTTTTAGTGCAAGCTCATCTCCGAGATTTCCAATTCAAAAATTCTCAAAACATTAATGGTTAATAATGGTTAATGATTGTGAATATAGCATGTGACTACACAAACAATACCACCCTAACATTAACTGGATATGCATATGCTCTGACATGAAGAAATGGATCACATTCACTTGGTCTCAATCAAGAAATAATTTGACACTGATGCCAAGTGTACATTCAATATGCTGCAAGCCTGCAACTAAGCACACAATTTTAAATTGCCAACATTATCAAATCCAGCTCCTCTATTATTGATTGTGTTGCATATGTTCACATTAATTGCAACCATGTATTTTTCACATGTTTGTGGACACCATAATTGTCCTGAGTCCCATCTGGCCCAAACATTAAAATGACATCTGGCTTTCTTCTCAGATATAATTACAGTTGACTTCTAATCATTCGGAGATTATGTGTGATCCAACGGATAAAAACTCGGTGTGGGCAGTATGATTGAACTTACCTCCAAATTAATCCCCTTTACTTTCACTAAGTTTCACAAATGTCCAATAAAGCAAACTAAAGTACATACAACAAGTGATCCACAAATCAAAAATTCAACACACAATTACACAACTATAGATGAAACCTCACACTAACTATGACAAACTAAACNCCAAAAGGTTAAAAAAGGAAACAAAATATATATAGTCCCAATCAAATTAACATTGGTAACAAACAACACAATTCTCTACAATCTTGTCAATGGCAAATGCACACTTACTTACACACACACCAACTAAAGCTTGATTGCCCACGGACGTGCGGCTCCACGGTCGCATGACGGGCACACGGTGAGGGTCGTGGGCGGCATTTGCATGTAGAGTTGCGGAGAAAGCTTGAGTGCCTTCAACTGTTGAACCTCCTTTTGTAGCCTTCGATTCTCTTCGGTTAGGGTTTCACAGCATCTTTTGAGGTACTCACAATCGACCTCCGTCTGCTTCAGCTTCGTCCGGGCCCTCCGGTTCTGAAACCACACCTCCACCTGGCGGGGCCTCAGCCCGAGCCTCTTTGCCAGGCTCGTCTTCTGCTTCTGAAAATCGATTTTGTCGAAAAACTCCACTCAGTCAGATCACAAACACAAATCAAGATAAATACAGTACCTTAGTTTTACAGTCGAGCACCAAATGCAAAAATGGAAGTATGAAATAAGTCATTTTGCATTGTAAAATGACACAATTATCATTACTACGAAAAATCGTTTCTAGAGGGCAGTTATGTCATTTTAAAGAAAAACAACTATATTTCATACTTTCACAAAAAATAAATGCCTATTCTTTTATCTTTTCAAAAACTACACAATTATTATTACTACCAAAAACCGTGTCTGAAAATCTGGGATTCCATAAATAGTTTCTTGAGGACAATTGTGTCATTTTACAAGCAAATAACTATTATTTCATACTTTCACACATAAAGTGTCTATTTTTTATCTTTTCAAAAAGCTACATGACCATTATTATCACAAACAAATATGTGTATGTTTAGACTTTAGAGTATATGAATTTGCCTGTACCGAAATAAATAAAAAAAAAAAAAAAGAGTATATGAATTTGCTTACGGGGTTGAGGGTATTGTGGTCTTTGAAGGTTTCTTCAAGGACGGCGGCCTGATCTTTGGACAACCTCAGCTTCTTGTTATTGTTGTTTCGAAAACTATTGTTGTTATCGGCTTCTTCGTCTTCATCGCTAGTGCCACGCGAGCAAGCCCTGTCCCTGTCAGCGTCCACCTGGCATCCATAGTTGTCCTCGTCACTGATGCTCCTCTTCCCGCTCGAGCTCGAGATCGTGCTGTTTGGGGAGCACGCGCTTCCCCCCTCTGCTTCCTTATCATGTCTACACGTGGCATTTACATCTGTAAGCACCAACAAAAAATCCGATTAATTTGACTCGTTAAAATATGATTTAAATCGAACGGTGAAAAAACTAGATTACTTCTATTGTAGTTTCTCTGTATTTAGAGACAAACCTGAAGAAGAAGAAGGGAGAGCTTGTGGCCAGGCAGCCGATTTGCTGATGAAAGAGAAAGGCATTATCAATGGAGGAGATGAAGTTGTAAAATGATTATTGAGGTGATGATTGTTTGAAACTTCAACAGTTTTATCCTCATGAGGGAAGCTCAAGCTCAAACTCAGGCTCAAGCCAAGGTCTTCTTTCT